GTCCATGCTGGAGCGGGCGCCCAGCTCGTCCTCCAGGTCCTCGGAGATGCGCCCCAGCTCGTCCTGGTGGATCTCCTTCAGGATGTTGAGCTGGAGCGGGGACACGACGCAGCACCCAATGTGGGCAGCGAGCATCCACCCCGCGCCACCCGAGCCCTTCCCGCACCCACCCTCTGCGCACAGACCAGCTGGCTCAACAGCACTAATTAAGAGCCTTGATGAGCACCCTGGAGTTGGAGGGGGTGGCTATACGTCCCCATGCCCACCCACCAGGACATGCCACCTGCTGGGGCACCCCTAGTCCCCCCGGCACCTCGCTCACCTGCTTCATCACCTCCTGCTTGCTCTTGTTGAGCTCCTCGTACTTGATCTTCCACTGGCTGAGCTCGCCCTCCAGCTTCTCGATGCTCTTGCTGAGAGCCAGCTTGTCCCTGGGGAGAGGCAACGCTGGGGACAGCTGGCAGGACCCCCTGGGACGTCCCAACCTGGTGGGGACCGGGCTGGGCTCGGCCGGCACCCGGCGGGGACGATGTCCCCAGCACTCACTCCCGCTCCTTGAGCAGCACTTTCTGGGACTCGTCCAGCCTCAGCTTCAGGGCGGTGACTTTGGTGGCATCCTCCTCCACCACGCTGACATCCTCCCAGAGCAGTCGGCTCCGCTCCGGGCGGGTGAAGGAGGCCCGGGGGCCCCGCTGCTCCCAGCTCTCCTCCTGCTTGCTCGTCAAGATGTTTTCCACCAGCTCCAACTCCTGCGTGGCCGTAGGTGGCCCAGGAGTCACCCATGGGTGAGGGGGCAGCTCTGGCTTCCCACCCTCTACGTCACCCCATAACCGAGCGCACCCCTGCCTCCGGTCCCCAGGGACCCCCCCGAGGCTGGGAAACGGGGACCCGTCTTCCCATGGGAGGTCCCACGCATCACTGGGCTCTGTCGCCAGCTCCCTGCCTCGCTGGAAATTCAGGATAAGGTGATCACCCCGACCTCGCCGTGACCGCCCCACCGGCCATCGTCTGCCGGGCTCCAGGAGCGCACGGTCAATGAGCTACGAGGGGTCTGCCCCGGGATGGCCCTGGGGACCAAGCTGCAGCCCGCAGGGGATGCTCAGATCGGGCTCAGATTTGCTGCCCGGCAGCCCTGCCGCGC